CCGCCGCCGCCCGCCCGTCCTTCATCGCCGCCGGGGCCGCCTCCCTCGTCGGGGCCCAGGTGAGTCTTGGGTCGTCCCGGGCCGGCGCTCCCCTTGGTGCTGCCGTCGGTCCCCGGCTGGGACAGGCCAAATGACTATAAACTCTTAATTCCCGTTTTCGGAGTGAGTCAGAGTCAGTGAGCTTTATACTTCATCAAGCCCTTTCCCCTATGTTTCTGTTCAAGGAAAGGGATGTAGATGGAGCAGGACATGTATCCAGTCTCTTCAGGGTTTTGGATAACTAAACTTTATCCTTCCCCCCCCCATCCCCCTGGGGGGAGGTTTTTATTGATTTTTGCAGACTACAAAACTACAACAGAAAATATAGGGAAGGGAACTACATCTAGGGAAAAAAGAAAAAAGACATACAACTAAAAACCCAAGGGTAGGAGATCAATACATCAGTTTATCACCATGCTATTTTCAGAAAGCTACTAATAATACAATGAACTTAGTCGGTTATGCTAGATTAATTATCGTTTAACCATCCCTTTAACTGTTTAAAGAAGTTCCCAGAGCATCCCCAAGTTATTTCAACATTTTTTTCAGGCACAAATCAAAGTCCTTCAGCCCTTAATTATTCTTATCTTTTCTAATACTCGGTTTATATGAGCTTTTGGGGGCAGCTGCCCCCTTTTCAGAGGGGGAGTCCTCGTCCAAAGACCCCGAGCCCAACTCGCCATCAGATTTGCTTTCTTCTTCCTCCCCGTTGCCCTCTTCTCGTTCCCCAAGCTGTGTCCGCAGAAATTCATGTGCTTTAAAAACAGAGTCAATCTTTTCTCTTTTTTTTTATCGTTGAGCTTGAAAATGACACCTTCTGGGATTAACCACCTGTAACTGATGCCATTTGTTTGTAAGAAAAGGGTTAATTCTTTATAGTTCTTTCTCTTCTGCCTTATATCAAATGGAATGTCTTTTAAAATCCTGATATTGTTGCCCCCAATTTTCAAGGGTGTTCCCGAAGTTGCTTTCAAAATAGCATCTCTCACATGTCTCTTCGAGAATCAGACCACTATTTCCCCAGGCAGATTATTTTTCTTGATGTACGATGAATAGGACCTGTAGATCACATCCATCTCGCTGCAAAGGTATTCTGCTGTTAAATCTGTCATTGGGGCTATTGCTTCGCTCAGCCGTTGCTTCAGATTCTATCCTTTAATTTCCGGGACCCCTTGAAACTGTAGGACCAAATTTGCTTTATCCATTTGTAGCTGTAAAAGCTTTGACTCTTCTGTAGCTTGCTTCATTTCCAGCTTTTGCACCTTTTTCTTAACTTTTTTAGTAGTGACGTCCATTTCCTTCATCTTCTCTCCCATTTGCTCTGTTGCTTTTAAGTATGGAGTCAGTTGCATCTGCTGCCATGCCACACTCTGACCAATTATTGACAGTTGTTGTTTAATGCCAGTGATCTCATCCAGCAGGGGGCGCAGGGAGTCAGCCAAGAGTTTTGTGAGCTCAGTGACCTCATCCGTTTGATGACTGCCCCCTAGTTTCGGTTTCAACAGCTTCTCTTTCTCCGGTTTCTTCCCCGCCATCTTTTTGGATTTCTTTACTTTTCAAAAAAGTTGCTAAAGTCTCTGATATTCGCCCGAACGCTTTTCTGCGCTCTGGTAAGTCTCTTAAAACAGTTTTAGTCGCTTATTTTTCCACTCCCCCCTCTTTCTGTCTGTGTTCCGTCTATGCGTTTGGGAGGGACTCCTCCCCCGCTCGCTTTCCCGTCGCTCTTTAGGGGGGGCAGCTTCTTTTTATATCTTCATGCTCGCTTCAACCCGACTCACAGTTCGTTGTTGGCCATTCGGCCTCACTTGTCACAATTTATTTCGCCCGGTCAGCAGCACTTGTACCATGCGGTCACTCAGCGGCAGGACCTTTGGGGCAGACGGGCGCCTCAATTCTCCAGCATTCGGCCATCGAAGAGGTCGCCCCTCAAAAGCCCCCTGGCTGGGAGCCTTTTACCAAGGCTCCGGGGGGGGAGGGTCATGACCCGTCAGACCCCCTCCCACACGCTGGTGTGCAGTTTACATCCCCGGGACGTCCGGGAGATGTGTCTGCCTGCGTGTCGCCATAAACCGGAAGTTTTCTAAACTTTATCCTTTTTGTCACCACCTGCTGTGCTTGTCTGCACCATAGTTTAACTGTTTTATTTACTTCATTTATATCCCGTCTTTGTTCCTGATGCTTACTTCATTTTCCTCTCCTCCATTTTATCCTTGCAACAACCCTCTGAGGTAGGTTGGGTTGAGTATGCAGCTGGTCCAAAGCTGCCCAGCAGGCTTCGATGGCAGAATAGGGTTTTGAACCTAGACTTCCCAGAACCTAGTATGGCACTCTAACCACTAGAATAGGGTTTTGAACCTAGACTTCCCAGGTTCAAAAACCACAGTAATGTGGTTGAAGTGCTGTTTGTCAAGTCATTTGAAATTAAGAACATAAGAGAAGCCAATGTTGGATCAGGCCAATGGCCCATCCAGTCCAGCACTCCATCACACAGTGGCCAAATATACCAGGTGCCATCAGGAGGTCCACCAGTGGGGCCAGGACACTAGAAGCCCTCCCACTGTTGCCCCCCCTCCCAGCACCTTCTGTTTAACTTAATCCTAGGAAAGATAGGTTTTGCTATCTTGTAGTTTGCACGGTTTCTGAGACATCTGAAAATTCATGGTTGGCATCACCAGATATGTGTTAGGAGGTTTTTGAGATTCTGTACCACTGCCCTTTTCCCATATGTTCCAAGTCCCTGGTGCTGCTTTTGAAGTCCCTGCCTCTTTCTTTCCTAGTCTTTTACTCTTTTTTCTAGTCCTCATCACAATATGTAAGTCTATGGAAAGACTTTCTATTGTCTGTTCATCATTGATGATGGATGTCCAATTTAGAGTTTACTTAATGTGGAATTTCAGTTGTTTTTTGCAATGTAGTCAGGGTTTATAAATGGTACCAGTTTAACAATTATATGCATACTTTCTGTGTAGGTGACCTGCCCAAGTTGAAAAACCTGTAATTTGGAGGAAGTTGTTTCTTTCATGCTCTGATGATATGCTGCATCTGAGATAGAAATGAGAACTGTATTTTTCAGTCAAAATATAGGTTAATTTGCACAGAACTGTGTGTAACACTTAAATGAGATCTGTTGCAAGAGACCACTTGCAGATCTTGCATTGTGACTTTTCTAGAATGGAGTAGTTTTGAACTACAGGTGAAAACTGATTATTTGATTTACTGTGAATCTATAATCTGGCGTCTAACAACTGCATGTCGTAAACAAAAGCTGCTTTCTTCATGGTTAAAAAATGAAAGATATGTAAAACAACATGTATGTTCCTATGCATTTGCATTTAGTTACAATGGTTGATATTTTTAAAGCAGCTTTGCGTTTTGGCGAATCAGTACCCCTTGTGTGGGAGTGCACAAATTACCTGCAGTGAGTTTGCAAATACTAGGGGAGGGGGTGTTGATCCTATGCTGCTGAAAGATGAACAGCAATTGGATGTCCTCCCCCTGCTTGCCAATTTCAGGCCCTGAGGGAGAACTGGGCAACTGCAGATGCTACTCAGTTCCTGTCCTCGTGTCAGTGCCTGAATGTCCAGGCAGACCTTATTGACAGACATTGGAATTGAGAGAGACAGACAGACTGGGGAAGAGAGACCAGTAGTTCTGAAATCTGTTTGCTTGGATCCACACATTTGCATGGGCATCATGTCAGCATCTCCTCATATTTCCAGCCAGAATAGATGATGATTGTGAATTTAGGGGATCCCAAGTTTGCAAGAGTAGCTTGTAGAGTAGCTTGTAAAACACAAGTCTTCAGTCTATGTCTTGAGACAAATTTTTCAAATTTCTTACTAACTGGAAATATGTCTGAATGTATCACTATAGAAATCAACTTAATGATCTGTTTCACAGGATGAAGAGACTCAGCACAGCCTTGAATGCATCCAAGCTAATCAGATCTTCCCCAGGAAGCAGCTGATCAGAGAGGATGAGAATCTCCAGGTAATTGCCTATGTTTTGCTCTCATAGCATGTGCAGACCTAGTAGTGTTACTTCTGGCCAAGACCAGGCAGAAGACGTTAAATGGGTTTAATTTGATCTGTGTAATGGAACAAAATTTGTTGCAGTACTTATGCTTATAGTTACAAATTTAATTTTCAGTTAAGTTGAAGGGTCTTGGAAATGGAGCATTTAATTGTTCGATGTTTTCCTGCGAACTACTAATACTCACTTATGTCTGAGGGCCTTCTTCTCTGCCTTTCCTTTACCTTGGAAGGGTTCATTCTTCAGCAAGACAATGTGTATGAATATTTTGGATTTCTTTGTGTGTGTCAGGAGCTGAAAGATGAAATATAAATTACTCAAGTAAGTAAACTCTTCTTGCAGCTGCATACAAGAAAGCCAGTTGGGTGTAGTGGTTAGGAGCATGGACTCTTATCTGGGAAAACCGGGCTTAATTCCCCACTCCTTCACATGCAGCTGCTGGCATGACCTTGGGTCAGTCACAAGTTCTTTCAGAGCTGTTTTCTCAGGAGCTATTCTCAGCCCCACATACCTCACAGGGTGTCTGTTGTGGGAAGGGGAAGGAGATTGTAAGCCACTCTGAGACTCCTTTGGGTAGTGAAGGGCAGGGTATAAATCTAATCTCTTCTTCTACAATGCAGAAAAATATTTTTCTCTCTTTCTCAAATATCTTCAAATATTTTTGTCTTCCCCTGCCCTTCCCAAATTTCTAAAGTTTGAAATTAGGCTGAGCTGAGCCTCTAAAACATATAGTTCCAAACAGGTATAGTGTATGCTCTAGGAGTCCAAATTATATAGGGTAAACACTTTCCTTTACCTTGGAAGGGTTCATTCTTCAGCAAGACAATGTGTATGAATATTTTGGATTTCTTTGTGTGTGTCAGGAGCTGAAAGATGAAATATAAATTACTCAAGTAAGTAAACTCTTCTTGCAGCTGCATACAAGAAAGCCAGTTGGGTGTAGTGGTTAGGAGCATGGACTCTTATCTGGGAAAACCGGGCTTAATTCCCCACTCCTTCACATGCAGCTGCTGGCATGACCTTGGGTCAGTCACAAGTTCTTTCAGAGCTGTTTTCTCAGGAGCTATTCTCAGCCCCACATACCTCACAGGGTGTCTGTTGTGGGAAGGGGAAGGAGATTGTAAGCCACTCTGAGACTCCTTTGGGTAGTGAAGGGCAGGGTATAAATCTAATCTCTTCTTCTACAATGCAGAAAAATATTTTTCTCTCTTTCTCAAATATCTTCAAATATTTTTGTCTTCCCCTGCCCTTCCCAAATTTCTAAAGTTTGAAATTAGGCTGAGCTGAGCCTCTAAAACATATAGTTCCAAACAGGTATAGTGTATGCTCTAGGAGTCCAAATTATATAGGGTAAACACTTTACAAAATCTGCTCTCCTATGAGCCCTGGTGTGTCAAGAATGGTGACCAAACACTGCCGTTGTATAGAGGGAATCCTGAAAATTTCTTCTGAATTTAACTGCCTGCTAAATTAATGTTGTTTTTATTAAGGTTATTTTTGCCTTGGGAACATCAGGTAGTAGTAACTTCCACCAAAATGTCCCATCTTTCATTAGTCTTTCTGTGACTCAAGCTTTGTTCTAGCGGTGCTTTATGTAATTGTAAGTGCTACATATCTATTATGGCATGTCTCATATTTGTACTTATGGGGGGGTGCTAGCCCCCATTGAGCTGATGAGTCTTTTTCTTTTCTTCTCTTCTCTTCTCTTTTTGGAAATTGACCTTTTCCTTTGCTCTACAGGTCCCTTTTCTTGAACTTCATGGTGAAAGCACAGAATTTGTGGGACGAGCAGAAGATGCCATTATTGCACTTTCCAACTACAGGCTTCACATCAAATTTAAGGAATCGGTTGTGAATGTAAGCGTTAGTTTTTATTTTTACTCTTCAGGAAAGGTGGTTTTCCTGGTGACTCTATCAAGTGAACTTGTTGCAGGAACAGAAGCTGCGACTTCTATAATATGCAGCCAGAGACTGGTAGTTCTGTGTGGATGTCTTGGAAATTGAAAGAGTCTGAAGTGGGTTGTCCTTCAGGTAGGGGCTGCTACATGCAGTGAATCATAGTATTCTTCATTCAGCATTCTGTTAGATTCAGTTAGTAGGTGCTTCTTTGGTTGAAGTCAGGAAGGCCCTACTATGTATTGGAAAGTACCTCAATTAGAATGTGGCATTTTCAGTTTTTTCTATGAAATTCTATTCCTGCAGAGACAACTGTTCTACTCTGTACAATGCTGCAGTTCACCTACTCTCATTTAGGATGTTTAGGCTGTTCCAGTGCTTGAAAGAGAAACTCTCATCCCCTTTTGCTGTTTGTGCTAATGTGGCCAGGCAATCTGAGTTTTTGTGATCAGTTGCAGTCTTTTTAAAATGTTGATTAGGGCAAGAAATGCTTTGCATAATTTTAAAAAATTCATATATTTTGGTTTCCATGTCATAATCCTTCAGGTTGCAAGTTACAACAATTCCCTTGTTTGCAGCTGCAAACCACACCTGACACCTCAAGTAGTGTTTCTTTTGCTTCATATCTCCTCACCAGCTGTGAGTCATGTGGAAGTTATGTTGATGAAATGAGGTAGACTAGAATTCAGCTTGTCATTCCATAGTAAGATTTGGTCTTGTAAGCTGATCCTAGCATATCAGTTTTGTTTGCATTCACATGTGTGTGAGAAAACGTGAAGACCCCTGAGATAGCTGTCTGGGAGAACAAGTGCTTCAGATGTCCCTGAACATATAATATAGCTGTAGTCTTCAGCATTCTCAATAGCAAGTTTTGTGTCAACTGAACTAAGTAAATATAGCATATTGTTTACGAATGTGATTATCATAATTAAATTTTATAACTGTAAGGTCAGTGAGCATTCATAATCTAATAAGAATTTTGAATAGGCTCCTTGCAAAGATACTGGCACTTAGCATGTGATGTTGGATGTGAAATTCTGAGGATTTTGTTTTTTGTTACCTGGCCTCCCCAAAATAAAGCTCCTGAAGCTGCTTCTTGTGGATATTGTGGGGTAGGGCAGTGACAACCAGGTACCTAGTTACTCATGTGTGGTGTGTCAGAGGTAGGGGAGGTGAAATCTGGTTGAAATTGTCCAAAGTCTACCTTCTGGTTTTATCCTAATTTTGTTCTTTGTTTATAATTCAATAGAATGTCTGTAAATTTGCTGCTTGTGAGACCTCAGTAAGTAAAATAGTAATGCTGTACAACACTTTTTTCTGCTGCACCTTTGCTTGGAACAAAATAAACTTGTGCTGACCTGTGCTCACCTTGCAATAGAGGCTGGAGCTATCATGCATGAGGCATTTGAGTGGATAAATTCATGGATGATCCAGAAATAGGAAGCTGATGTTCCTTGTAGAAAAGACAAAAGTCTTAGTAGGCCAAGCAATAAGCTGATGGCATTGTGACTTTCAAAAATGTTGATACACTCATCCATGGGATCATTTGTGTACCCAAGAGTGACAACTTCAGTGCAAATCTAAACTTGAATGCTCAGGCTGGTCTCTTGGTTGGCTTCAGTTAAGAAAGTAATTTTAATTGTGGCATCTGGGACGTATAGAGTAATGAATATGTTTGTGGTTTTGAATGCCACAGAGAAGAACTGAGACCTCTTGAAGTGGATTTTCAAATATGGCACGATAGGATTTAAGGAGTAAGATATGAGAATTTTAATGACATTTTCCCTCCTCTGGTTCAGTTAATGTCTTGATTTTTATTCCCTTGCTTATCTATAATCATTTAATATCCCTGGAAGTAGTTCCTATCTACAAACCACAGTAAATTCAGAAATGTTGTTCTTTTCCCCCCTAACATCTGTTAAGACAAAATTAGTTTAAGTACTGGGAATTACCCTCAGGAAAATTATTCTGGTTGTCTCGGACAGCTTTGCATGATCACTAAAAAGGCTAAATGGTTGCTTCATATGCAGAACTGGTATACTTCTGTCAGATTAGACAGATTGCTGTTTGGAGAGTGAACTGATTGCATGGTGTGACTTGATTTGTGATATAAGTGATATACTCAAGCATGGAAATTGGTCAGGGAAAAGAGGTTTGTGTCAAATGGTCTAATGAGAAAGATGGAAGGGCATGTGGAATTTGCATGGCAGTGAAGCAAGTATGCATGGCAAGAAGACAAAATGGAGCATGATACTTAAGTTTTACCTGGGAAGTATATGTGCCACATTTTGTAGCATATGATGCGGAAGGCTATATTTGATAAGGAAGTTTGTTGAGAAAGAAAGAAAAAAATGAAACAAATGGAGGGCAAGGGACTGGCCAGGGGAAAAGATGATAGGGTGCTAAGAAACATGTGTGTGAACTAATAAGTTAGAGGAGGCTTTTAAAATGAGATGCACAAGTTAGATCTTGGAAAGTTTTGATGAAGGGAAGAGAGGAGCTGACCTACAGTGAAAATTCTTGGAGTAATTGTGTTTTCTTATGAGCATTTAGCAAGGGACTTTGGCAAAAGCTTTCTGCAAGGATGTAATGTTTACCAGATCACATGTACCTACATGTTTGTGTCTTCATAGAGTTTTAGATCATTTATGTGGCAAGGCTTCCTTTTGGAAGAGACAGCTGATAACTTCCTCAGCAAGCCTTTTTCTTAATCAAATATAGGGTGTTAAGGGAGCCATATGTCCTCTGTGCCAGAGAGATCTTTGAGGACCAAGCCCACATAGGGCTCTGTTTCAGTCTTCTTGGTGCCAAAGACAGAGAAGTACATGAGGGAAGCCCTTATCTTGGGAGGAGGCTCGATCAACTGAAAGCCATATTAATTGCTTTCTCATCTCCACTAGTGTGATTCCTGTTAATGTAAAAGGTTGTTGTCCCCGTAGCTCCCTACCTGTTGCAGAGTTGCTGCCATCCTGCTTCCATTCAGCTGAAGGGGTGAGAGGAGGATGACATTTGTTTGTTGCAGTTTGGCTTCTATGACTGTCCCCTCTGCACTTGTATGGAGAAATGTGTGTGCCATGAATTCTGGAGACAATGCCTCCATTGTTGCTTGATCTTACTGGCTGCTCTTCTGTTGATAGGAGTGCACAGTCTGCTCCACCAGAAGCTGAGTTGTGAAGAGACAGAAGTGCAGAACTTATAAATGCTAGCAAGATGCACATCATTATAATAGACAAACCTGTATATTACTTGGGGGAATACATTTCACCCACCACAGGGTGCTTGACAGCATATTCTGGATCAGTCATGGTCTAAGGAGGATAGGCATTGACTTGTTCCACAATATTTGTGGATGTGGTATTTCAGTGTCCCTTATAAATAGGAGGCTGCCATTCAGTCTTTTTGGTAAAAATGCTGTGTATTGGGATACTATTCAGTTACAGTCCTCTGATGATGCCAATATGAGACCTGGGGAGGGCAGATTTTTATCTCACCCTTACAGTAGAGAACTCCTTCCCCACTCCTAGCCTTAAGAATGATCTTTTAGGAACAGGGTATGCATCTGTGGGGAGTGGAGAGCAGCAATAACAGGGTCAAAGTGGGAGGAGGGTTAATATGGTCTGTCGTAACTTCACTGATGTTCCCAAGAATGTAGCCTTCTTCATGATTTAACACGTGCTGTCTATTCATTTGGGATGCAAAGAGTGAGAGTTTATTCACTTAAGAGTAATAGCTCATTTCAGGTTCTGAATTATCTAATAAATCCAAATAATGAATGCCAAGAAACTACCATTTCAGAGCCTTTTTGAGTAAGGTCATTTAATCTTCTTAATCACAGGTTCCATTACAGCTTATAGAAAATGTTGAATGCCGGGACATATTTCAGCTTCAGTTGACTTGTAAGGACTGTAAAGTTATCAGGTATGTATAAATTGCCTCAGAGGTTGGACAATATTGCAATCAGTGGTGTTTTTTGTTAGGGTAACATTTTGTTGTCTGTACTTATCCAGTAGAACATCTTATAATCCAGTCCAGTTTATGTTTAACCAGAACTGAAGGCGTCCAGTTGTGGCAGAATAATGAATTCCCAGAGTCTGTCCTATCCCGGTGGCTGTATTAGGTTCTGAACTGAAACTCTTCTGTGTTCATTTTCATGGATTTCAAAAAGCATCTCCTATTCCTGGCACTCTTTCAATGTATTTCTATTGTTACATTGCAGCTCTTTTCGTCACTACCATCCACATTTGCCCTCAGTCCTCAGCTTTGTTTCCCGCACTGCTGTTTAATGCTATTGTGGTAACCCATGAGAACCTGTCAATTTATCAGTTGTTTTAAAGCATTTATATGCCACCTCTCTCAAAAAAACTGCTTGTGGTGGCTTGCAGCTTAAGAACAATAAAACAATAAAAGCTAAAACTAATCAAATCAGCAATAAAAAGTCATTTCCCGCAGTCCATTACTTCACCTCTGCTGGCAGGACACAAGAGCAGAGCTTGAGGTGAGGATCTTAACTGGCAAGAAGGGTAGCGTGAATGGAGCCAGTGTTTCAGGATACAATATACAGGTCCATGAGTAGTGAAAGTCCATAAATGGTACATAGACAGGACGAAGACTCCGGATTTTGATCTTCGTTTCGATCGCTCTTCTTCAAGAAGTTCATACTACTTCATAAAGTACTCATAATGTACAGAAGACTTTGAAATGGTATATGTAGGAGGAAAAATCCTTCACACAGCACTCACAGCGTATAAAAGCCTTCAAACCAGTATTACAGGAGAAAATTCAATCCTATTATAATCATTCACAGCCAGGCACCCGATCAGCAAGGGAACAAACTCTTCAATAGTCGGTAAGCTTAAGGCTTTTATACACTGTGTCTACTGTGTAAAGGGTTTTTCCTCCTACATATACCATTTCAAAGTCTGAATATATATGAACCGACCTTTTAGGTGTTAGGTACCAATTGTATATAGTTTTTGTAAAATTTTCATTTAAATCAGAAGATACTGAATTTGATTGTTGTTGTCCCCACCGGCAGTGGTGGCTCCAAGTTAGGACGGCACAGTGGTGACAGTGGAGACAGGCTGAGTGGGGGCCTTCCGGAGGGTGGCTGCTTCAGGTCGCCAGGCAAGCCAGTGGGGAACCTACGTGCTGACCCAAAGATGGGGGAGACAGAGAACCAGGTCGCTGGGCGTGCCCGTCGCCACAGCCGCAGGACCCACCTGCAAGCTGCAACGGGGATGCTAGTGCAGACCATGCTCACGGGGATGCCAGTGCAGACCATGGCCAGCTGAGGTGTGGGAGCCATGGCGAGAGCTGCTGACCCCTCCCCGGAGGGGGGAGGAGGAAGGCACGAATGAGCCCTTAAAAGGGCTGCCCGCCTTAGCCAATGGGAGCAGGAAAAGGGAGGAAAGAGAATAGGGGGACCAGCAAGGGAAGGGAAAATGGAGGTGGGAAGATAGAGGAGTGGATAAAAGGAGGCCAAATGCTGGGATCGAGGAGGAGAACGACAGGGGAGTGATGATGGGCGAGGAGGGATAGAAAGCGAGAGAGAGAGATGCCAAACTCTGGAGGGGCCTACTGCCAGATGGCCAAGGCCCCTCACCTGTTAACTGAGGTCCCAGCAGCCCCTTTGTGATCCCCAGCCCCAAGGTGGAGGAAGGGGCTGAGGGGGGACCAGGGGTAGGGTGACACTTATGTTCTGTCGGTGATGCTGTTATGCTGCATTTTTGTGTTTATTGCTTCTGGTTTGTTATTAAATAAAGTCATAAATGCCAGTGTTTTCTGCTCTGGTTTGGTGTGAATCCTATGGCTTGGATCTTGGTGAAAATTAATAGAGTTGTTTCTATTTTTTAATAGGTGTCAGTTTTCTACCTTTGAGCAATGTCAAGAGTGGCTTAAACGGCTGAACAATGCAATACGTCCTCCATCAAAGATAGAAGATCTGTTTTCATTTGCTTACCATGCCTGGTGTATGGAGGTGTATGCTAGTGAAAAAGAACAGCACGGTGATTTGTGTCGACCAGGTATGATGCAGACACTATGTATACCCAAAATATGAATTAACGTTACAGCTTTTTAGGACTGCACTAGTATTTTGCCTGTGAGAATCTGGGAAGAAAAAGTGGGGGGCAAAGTTTTCCCCAAAACCTCCTTTCCTTTTTATACATTGTTGTCTACTTGCAACCATTTCTTTCCCCAGTCTGCGTTTTTTGTCCCACTTTTTAAAAACATGGGCTTCTTCCTAAGGCAGTCCTAGCTAATGAAGAAGAAGAGAAGAGATTGGATTTATTCCCTGCCCTTCACTACCCAAAGGTGTCTCAGAGCGGCTTACAAACTTCTTTCCCTTCCCCTCCCCGCAACAGACACCCTGTGAGGTAGGTGGGGCTGAGAGAACTCTAACAGAAACTGCTCTTTTTCAAGAACAGCTCTTATCAGAACTATGGCTTGCCCAAGGTCATCCAGAAAGGTGCAAGTGGAGACGTGGGGAATCAAACCCGGTTCTCCCAGATTAGAGTCCGCGCACTTAACCACTACACCAAACTGGTGTAGAATATGCCCGTCTGTTCTCTGATCCCTGTTCCATTTTGGCTCAGCCCTACAATATAGGCATGTAGAAGAATACAGAAAATAGCAAAATGCATACCTTCTACTAGTGTTACAAAGGCATCCAGTTAGAAATAAGTTACATGCTACCTCTGCTAACTTTTTGATCTTACAAAACTGATTTTAACTAAAATTGATCCTAGCATTTCTCTCACCAGCATGAGATTAATTCAGGTCCAAATTAATTCATTGATTGGTTTCCAAATTGTGATTTGTGGCCTGTAAGCACAACCATGCTGTTTCTTATCACCTCATTTCATAACAGTGTTCTGAAGCTGAGCTCGTGAGGCAGCAGCCTGTTAAGCTGTGGTGTTAATGGCTTCCATGAGGCTGCAGGATACCTTGAGAGCAGGAGAAGCCATGGGAGGAGGGGCTGTTTTAGTTAACAGTAAAGGGAATAGGACTCCTTAGAAGGTGGAGGTGGGGAGAGCCAGGAACAGGGGCTTGACAGCAAAAACTTGTAAAGCCTCAGAACTAAAGCTGTTGTCTTGGAGGGGAAAAGAGACCTGGCCTAGCTAGAGACCAGACCTTGGAACGAGGGTTCTTTTAATGCCTATATGCTGGCGGTTTCTTGGCTGTTTGATAGACGATCCTTTCAGTTGCTAAATTAGATAAGGCAATGCAGTGCACATATTTCTGTTTTTGTACAGCTTGGGCTTCAAGCTGCATCTGTCAAGAATATTGGGTTGACAAAGGCTGATTTCCCTAAAAAAAATTTTTTTTCCTCCACAGAGAAATACCCTTTTAAAAATCAGAATAATTCAGATGTGCTGTAGCATGGTGTTTTTCTCCAGAGATGACTTCAGTGGTTCCCTGAGTAAAAATCTTGTTGTATGCAAGTGGCAGTTCATATATCATCCTTGATACTTGCTTATTGTGAGGCCTGTTCTGCACTCATAATATCACCACAAATATTTTTATGCCGCCCCTTAGATTTTTTTTTATTGCCACACTTTGGAAAAGGAGAACAATGGTCTTAGTGGCAGGTTAATCACTATGCATACCTGGCCAGGTCAGAATGCATTCCACAGTGGACTGCAGTTCTCTCCATTTTCCAAATGCTGCAAGAACAGATTGGTGCCTGGACTTTGTTTGAGGATTGTCTTTCATTATTTTTGACATAAGAGTGCTCCGTGTAATCTCTCCCACATCTTCCCAAAAATCTTATGGGAAGGCTGAATATATATTACTAGTACCTTTGAGGCCATCCCTAGTACTTGAGGATCAAAGAGGGTCTCAAGAGTACCCACATGTATTTAACATGCTTTGTGTTCTTGTTTTATGGCAGTTACGTTCTGGAAACATTCTTGTGGTCAGCAAAAATGTAGAAATGAGAATTGCATTCATCTTAACCTGTTTCCTGGCCTATAAACTTTCCTTCCTTTTGATGCTAAGCTGCATCACATGCGCAAAAATAACTATAGTCAAGTAAGTGATAGAACCAAATTGAAAAGCAGTGAAGTGATGATGGCTTTCTGAAGGCATCTTCATAAGTGACACTTGTTCTGTTTGGGGCATCATCCCCATGCAGGGTGGAAAATGTATTAATTGGCAGCTGTTTAATTAGCATACTTGAAATAAAATGAATGCAGGTTCTATACTTCATACATGAAGTTGTACAACGTCATCTGAACCTTTCCTGAGAGTTTGGTAGAAGTAACTCATATAAATTGAGCTTCTGCTTGCTGGTATGATCTGTTGAAACAGCAGTGTGGTAATTTTTGGGTAAATCTAAAGAGATTTGAGTCTTAATACTGTTCGTGAAACCATTGACTACTGATTTTTCATTATCAGTTAAATCGCAGGCCATTTAAAGATACCTACTGAACACAGATTTCTTGCAATGGAGAGAAATTCAGCAGATTTGTTGTTTTCTTTTCTAAATCAGGGAGATAAATGCTGTCCTATTAAAAAATTAAGTGCTGTTTTGTCCTTATTTATGTTTAGGGGATCACGTAACATCAAGATTTAAAAATGAGGTTGAAAGGATGGGTTTTGATATGAACAATGCCTGGAGGATTTCCAATATCAATGAGAAGTACAAGTAAGTTTTGTGGATACTTGTAGACAGCTGCGCATTGGTTAGATATTGTTAATATTGGTGTTCTGGAACAGATCAGTCATAGCTCCAACTGTGATAGAATCTTGTTGCATATCCTGGCACTGTCAATAATGTTTAGGTTGTTATGTGGATGACAGATCATGTCTGATACTTATGCTTTGTTTTCTAATGTCTGTAATTCTGGTCCTATTACTTTGCTTATGAAACACCTTATTTTTGTTGATTGCACTGACTTACGTTGTGCAATCAGCCTTGAGCCTCAGAGAGGTGATAAATAATGTAAATTAACAAATAAATAGAAAAGAAGAAGAGATTGGATTTATACCCTGCCCTTCACTACCCAAAAGAGAGCGGCTTACAAACTCCTTTCCCTTCCCCTCCCCACAACAGACATCCTGTGAGGTAGGTGGGGCTGAGAGAGCTCTGACAGAAACTGCTCTTTTTCAAGAACAGCTGTGCCAGAACTATGGCTTGCCCAAGGTCATCCAGCCAGGTGCAAGTGGAAGAGTGGGGAACTAAACCCAGTTCTCCCAGATTAGAGTCCGCGCACTTAACCACTACACCAAACCTAAAGATCTGGAAAACAGAATGGTAGAGCCTCACACATAGTTAACCACTGAGAACAGGGCGCACAGCTACAATGCCTGTTGCCATCTGTGCAGCTTGGCAGTGGTAGCTGTGCACCCCACTCCCTGCCATGTAGCCATAAAGAGCTCTTGAAATATCAGATAATTCAGTATACTCAATATAACTAGAGGTTTTATCTTAACAGTTTTTTAACGGCTGCTTCTGGTCTGAAGTCTGTTTTATTGATAGTTTTTACATTGTAAATGTCCAGTGGCTTCTTTTTAATAGCTTGTTGCTTTATATTATTATATGTAAGTTTAAGCCGCTTCTGTGTAAGGGCTCTGAAGAGGTGCCATAGAAATATTCCAAATTATACACGTTTCTGACCTTGCTTTTGGTTCTCTGCTGGCCTTAAAGAACTTTTGTTGCTGCTGTTGTTGTTCAGTTGCACAGTCGAGTCCGACTCCTAGCATGCAACAACAGGGCCAGTAACGGCAGCAACAAAATCAGGCCGTCCTTTAATTTATTTTATTTATTTATTATTCACATTTATACCCCGCCCTCCCCATAGGCTCAGGGCGGCTTACAGAGGTGAGGCAGAACATAAAATACATAATACATTTAAAAACATAGTACATCTTAAATTCCTATACAGACAAAGTGCTCAATGATGTCATAGTCCAAAGATGACGGATTGTATGTCCGAGTTCCAAGTTGACGGCCAGGGTTTCCTCCATGTTCGGATGTTTCCTCCGGGCTTCATCCAACCCACCACGGTGGTAGTATAGCGGCGGGGGTGGGGGGGCGGCTCCTACTCAAAAGCCTGGTGGAAGAGCTCCGTCTTGCAGGCCCTGCGGAACTGCATAAGATCCCGCAGGGCCCGGGTCTCCCCTGGGAGCTCATTCCACCAGGTAGGAGCCGCCACCGAAAAAGCCCTGGTCCTAGTGGCGGCTAGTTTGATCTCCTTGGGGCCCGGAATAGCTAGCAAATTTTGGGCCCCTAACCGTATTGCTCTTGGAACATACGGGGAAAGGCGGTCCCTCAGGTAGGTTGGACCCTGGCCATGTAGGGCTTTATAGGTCTGGACCATATAATGTAGGACCATGTCTGGTAATTTGAAAACAGTTATTACTGAGTGCTTGTTAAGTAGCTCGAACGAGAAGGTAGTGCCAACAAAGGACATTGAGACTGCAGAGGGCAAGGGAGGGACACCATGCAGCTTGATCCAAACTTCAACAGTTACAAATCTGTTAAAGATAGTCAAAAGATAAACCTAGCAGGTTGGCAGTTTTCCATTGTGCTGTGTATGTATTTGCACACTGCTTCCACACTACTGGGTCTGTTAAAATATGGCGGAGTTATACATACATGGTTTTGTTTGTTTATTGTTAGCTTGCCACTTGCATTTTTCTGCTAATGTACTTCTTCCATGTAGACTTTGCAGTAGCTACCCCCAAGAACTCATAGTTCCTGCTTGGATCACAGATAAAGAGCTGGAGAGTGTGGCAAGCTTCCGATCTTGGAAACGCATCCCTGCTGTCGTTTACAGGTAAGATGTTCCTCAAAAACAGTAATCTTGTCATCAAAAGGTTATGGATCTGGGTCCAAGTCAGCCCCATTGATCTTTCAGCAGGCACAAGTGACCTTTGACTTGCTTTTCCCAGGCAGTCAACTACTCACTGCTCTGATACAAGCAAAATCAGTGAGGGCTCTGGGAAATTGCTGGAAAACCATGAGAGTGTGTGTTTTATGTGTTGTCAAGTCACTTCTGACTCTGTTTAAAATCAGAGTCATTCAGCATACTTGAGAAGAATTAAGAAAAAGATCACTGTCTCCATAAACATACTTAATATTTGCAGCAGTACGTACATTTTCAAATTCTCAGGACTATCCATCTGATTGCTGTACTGTGTATGTATAAGAACCTTATTGCCTTTA